TATATATATATATATATATATATATATATATATATATATTGATATGTTTCGTTGTACAGTTTCGACATATTCTGTCTACTCATGTTCGTTAAGATCCTTTCATACTCTCTGATAAAAGATTACATTACTGAATGACGAGAGAAAATCACCGTGTTTATACATATTTGTTTTATTACCAAGTATTTTCGACATATCCATCTCATTCATCAAGGTATTGTTTATCATAAAAGAAATATTATAATATACATTATTGTGAGAGACAAACTGTTGTGTTTTCTGAAAGTCAATTTTTACAAATGTAGAGAGGAACGCTACATCAGTGCATGATCTCTAAGACCATTCTAAAATTTAAATTTCTCACATTTAGAGTGAGGAACACTTTGTCAGTACGTGGCAGCTGAAACCGTTTAAAGGGAGGTAACTAAGTATGGTTTGGAGAGTTTTTTTTTTCATGAGTAGTAAAAAGAGAAACTATTATTTAAAACCGTGACATTTCAACCTATCTAATATACACGAGAATTTGTAATTAAGTTTATTAAGTTTTGGTTTCGATTTTTTAATATAGATAGATTCAAGAATTTTTAGTCTATTCTTATTCTTTTTGTGAAAAAAATAGAGGTTTTTTCAACGAGGATTTTTCTGAAATGTGAATATGGACGGGTATGCTGTTGTACATGTTTAGAAATGTTAAACGTATTATTCAAATGAAAAATTGACCTCTCAGACAAGGTTCTTGTAGTACGTCCAGCATAAATATTATTTTTAACATGGGATATACAATCTCCCAGAAGACATTTAAATTTATAAAAATGTTGGTTTTCTGCAACAGGTTAGTGTGTATCTGTCTATATTTCTGAGATGAGGTATTATGTACACCATTTACGTTATTCGGACTATTGTCTTCATTGTTGTCATGGACACACGTCACAGTGGATAAAAGCGTTGGTTAAATCCAGTGACAGCACCCTATGACACTATTTAGATATGGTAATTGGCTAATTAATCATAGAAATTAAAACAGAAAATAGACCTTCTTAAAGCAAAAAAAGAGCTATCTCGAAAGACAGAATGATCGTTGAGTTGAGTTGATAGTTGAGTTGATAGTTGAGTTGAGTTGAGTTTGGCAGTTCAGCTCAGGACAGAGTCAGAGACAGTTTATGTAGCGGGAACCAGAGTGTTGCTTCGCAGAAGCTGACCGAGAGATTCCACAACCTCCGACTTCGCCTAACCTACCCATAGCAAGTTATCCTGACGAACGAAGTTAAGCCAGCACTTAAAAACTAAACCTGTTCACTTAGAGGACCAACTTGCTTGAAACATAGAACTGTCACATTTCGTAGGAAAGGGGCTGGGAGAAAAACACGCTTCTCTATATAACAGAAGGATAAAGTTGAATTGTTATTTCGTAACATACTTGAAACTCTTGTGTTTTTCTTTTATTTATTCATTTTTTGCACTTGTGCGGTGCCACCTTCAATCTGGACTCAGCTTGCTCTACGGCCCGACGCCTGGTTGATCTCGTCTACCTAAGATCAAAGTCACGACGTGGGTAGTTTAGACTTGAGATCGAAGCAGTTACTCCAGTAACCGGACGTTGCAAGTGAGTTGAGAACGATAGAGTTGGCATTGAACCGGTACAGCTGGAGAAGCCGTTAACATCGACGACCAGAATTCGACCCTGGTGCCCCATATTGGTGCCTTGAACACTGGATTCGACACTGGACGGCTGAGTGTCACATATTGGTATCCTGACCAGGGGATTTCGCCGAGTAGCGACGACCACCGAACGACCGGGACACAGGCTGGTGGCAGCGACAAAGAGTCAACACCAAAACGCCGGCAGAAGAAACCTTACAGCGCGACTGAATAATGTAAACAATGCGTGTGTTGGGGAGGGGGACTCAATACGAATGATTGTATTAGATATAGTAGACTTAGTGTAGCATATAATTAATTATATATTTTTACTAGTATCTCCAGTGGATATATTATTTACATTATGATATATATATATATATATATATATCGATATATATATATATATATATATATATATAAATATAAAAGTGTTATATGCAATCGTCAGGTGGCCTGACGATTGCATATAGCATGAAACAGACTGTCGCCTCTAAGTGTTGACTTCTATGTTCACTTTTATATTTACACACGCTCTATCTCTGATATTGAGCACTTTATCCCATAAATATAGCACACCTTAAGACTATATTTCTTTATATATATATATATATATATATATATATTACATCATCCGGATTATTGTCCTCTTCTTTGCCATATTTTCTACGCTCCGGATTTGTTGCCACGAGCCAATGGATGTCAGTTATCAGTTATCTCCTGTTAATTTCCCTCTGAAAGTTCTCCACTGCCTTAACCGGGTATTGAACTCACACTCTTTTGGGTCCTCTCATTGGATCTAACCAACGCCTTTATCTACTGAGCCATGTGTCCTTGTCTATGAATTTCGGGATATTATAAACCTAATATCTTCAGCAACCATTTTTACCAGTGTTCATATTGCAATTTTTTGCTGTTATTATCGCTTTTCTCTGGCACTCCTTATTACTGGTAAATAGTACCTCATCTCAGAAAAATAGACAGATATCTCTATCTATAAAAGGTAGGGTGTGTGTGTGTGTGTGTGTGTGTGTGTGTGTGTGACGAATGCACAGCCGCAATTTTCGACGGATTTGCACCAAAATTTACATGCACATGCTCCAAGTTATCTGGAAGGCCAAGACCGATCTTGCATTTACCAACTCTCATCGATAGTGGAAATAATCGATTTTTTCATGCTTCTTCGGTAGTTTTCATGTAGTTTCATGCCATTTTTTACTGGCCAGAGTGAGAGCCAATAGCTG